CTTCAATATTCAGCTCTTGAAGTATGGATGCATTTGTTCTTTTCTTTACCAAGATATTCTTAGAACCTGTCTGTAACATTTATATTCAAATGCATTTATGCGCTGTTCCGCTTGTTTAGTAAGTGTCCAAGTCTCACAGGCGTATGTTGCAATGGGAAAGATGCATGCTCTTAAAAATCTGACCTTTGTAATTCTATCTGTACAATTCCATAATTTATTCAGTTGTTTTAGTCTTTGAAAAGCAATTGATAGTCGCCGTTTAATTTCTTTCATTGTGTCACCATTGTTGGTAACCAGTGACCCAAGATATTCGAAATTTTCCACCACTTCCAATCTTTCCTCATTAACATATATTTCCTTCTCCATGGCAGTTTTGTTTGTATGCATTATCTTTGTTTTTGCTATGTTAAGAAATAAGTTATGATTTTCACTATTTCTTTGGAGTGAGGTTAATAAGTTTTCTAAACCATTTTGTGATGTTGATAGTAATACTGTATCATCAGCATAACGAATTTCTGGTATTTCATGACCACCGATGTTTAGGGCATCATATTGTTCCTTGTTTATATCATCTCTTACATTTCTCATTATATTTTCGGCGTACAGGTTGAACAAATACGGTGACAGCACACATCCCTGACGGACTCCTTGCTTGATGCCAAACCAGTCTGATGTCTCTCCATCTATTCTGACTGCTGCTTCATTTAATATCAGTGTTACATTATATCACACTCACTACTAAAAAGATACCACTTTCAGTACAAAGAACAGCTTTAACCCTGAGACGCTGCTAATCTAGCCACCCGTTACAACCACCCAGGAAAGCTGCTAAACCTGTTTTTAAATGGTTTTTTTAAAATTGTTTATGACATCATAATTTGACTTTTGTTTTAGCAGGTGCATAGCGATAGCGTGACAGTATAAATCAATGTATACATTTATTTTAGACCGAAGAAATATATTCTATTTAATTCTGCACTCCATTTATGTTAATTGATTACTCCCCTTCATATATTTCTAAATAAATTTAGTAAAAGTATATTAATCAACTTCCAGTATGACTTAAGGGGCTCCATTGTAGGGAAAGAAAAAAACACTCACTGCTTACTGACAAGCACTTTGTAAAAGTCTATTAATTAGGGGCGTTTCCTTCGAAGTCAGAATGTATCTGCTTGAGAAGTAAAGAACCAATAGTCTGCACTCTAATAAACCAGATCGGTAAATGGATGTACACAAAAAACTCAAGCTCTGGAGCAAGACTAAAGTTCAAAGGTGAACGAACAACCACAATTTTTGACAGTGCCATGAGGAAAATATACTTAAAAACTTGATGACAGTGAGAAAACTTGATGGAGGAAAACACTTTTGGAGTTAATGATCCAAGTAGCCCCCTGGAAGCAATAACTGGAAGATGGAGATGGCTAGAAGATGGGGGTGTGTGGTAATCATAAGTCAACTTGTACATGACTGTTGAAGATGTGTACTCAACCTTTTTTGTTTTCTTTTTGTTTTAATAGGCATATTTCCCCCCCACCCCCCCCCCCCCCCCCCCCCCTCCAGCAACTGTTATAGACACTTTATGGTGAATAGTGGTACCTTTTTAGACACTTAGTGGTGTGTACCAGCAATTTGTTTCTAGGAAAAATGCCGTGGACGTACTACTGCTGTTATGTAAAACTTTCATTTACCAACAAATTCTTGAAAGGTTTTAATATGCTTACAATCACAGTCATGTTTAACATTGGCTGCTTTATAAATACTGTATATAATGTAAAAGAGCAAACTTCCTGTAAAAGCACTACAAATATCTTTCTGTTTTTGTAAAATACATGATATACTCATAGTTTCATTTACAAAATATTACATTCTGAATGTGTTCAGCCTGCAAGTTGATACTTCTTTTTTTAATGAAATAAAAAATACTCCTTTTTTACATATCAAAGGAGATAGAAGTCAGCTTTGAAGATGGAGAGCTGAAGAGACAGACAGCTATAAATCACCTGGATGCCATTAAAGGAGTGTTGCCCAAATCAAAACGAGGGGAGTTAGAGGCCAACCAAAAAAACATGGAAAGTGTTTGGCAACATCTGATAAAATCCCTGAGACAAACCAAGTAAGCTATATTGTAGAGTATTCATTCATTCATTCATTCATTGTCCTGTTGTGCCATTATATGTCACATAGGGCTCAGAATCTATTCCTTGCAATCCTAATGACTTATAACTGGAATTACTAGTGGTTACCTAGATGATTCTTTTATTTCTTCACCTGTCTTGAACTCATCCTATTATTTTTTCAACATTTTCCTCAGCCATTTGTGTTCAGATGCATTTTACTTTCATTCCATATCTTTAGTGGTTCTCCAACTTTTACTGGCATATTAAAAATTATTAAAATAACATTAGAATAGAAAATACCTCAATGGTTTTAAAATTATACAATTTAGAGTTGCATATTTTGTTCAGGATTTTTAAAAGGCTGCTGATACCTTGCCAATGTATGTGATAATTTCATTAATCGTATATCCTTGACCATCAAAATTAGTACCTAATTAAGTAAATTGGTCTGTTAATTAATTATTTTTGTCTTAAGAGTTCCATTTGCTTGTTATTGATCGTGTCTTCAATACATATGTCTATTCATAACTTATTTATAGTCTAACTTTTGGTGATAGATCTACTAAATCATCTGTATATTTTACAGTACTATTTAAACCACACACACACAAACATGTTGACTATAAGCAAAAGCAAATCAATACATATCAAAATTATTCAAGCAAGGTGCAGTTTAGTGACTTGCATGCTTATCTACAAGCCTGGCCCAGCTCATTAGCATAGTTGCTGACTTCGCAGCAACTACTTGACGAACTCCTTGTGGTTAGGGTAGGCAGAAAAGCCACATTTTTTCCCAGATTTACGATACCTGTCATGGAATCAAGGCCGAAGGGTTGCAATATTCATAGCACCGAGCCAAAGGGTTTACAACTCATGGTTTCTGGATATTGAAAAAAACAAACCTCTACAAGCCTGTTGACCATGTGATTAAAACCCCACCAAGATGGTTAATTTTCTTTTTTAAACAATTACCTTGAATATGCCTTTATGATCTGATTTATGATTTTGATATCCTCAGCTTCAGGAAATAAATAAAATTAAATACCTTTGTTGTTAAACAGAAATAAACTAGACAACTCTGTTGAGCAGTGGCAAAAATATGACCACTGCTTGGAATCTTTGTCTCAGTGGCTCAAAGACAGTGAAACTGAAATGAAGTCAGAGATTTCTCTTAAGGCTGATGTTGCAAGCAAGAGGGAGCAGCTGGAGCACTTAAAAGTAAGTGAGCAATGTAATGACTGCCAATGAAGTCTTTTTTTAAAAAAAACTCTACGTTTGCAAGTTTTTTTTTTGCTCTTGTGTATTTAATTTTTAAATACATGAATCATAATAATTTTTGACATTTAATTTGGAGCAGGAGAACAGACAAGAAACTAAGGGGCTTTCTATCAAGCTTTTAATATGAGTAAGGTTCTGCAAAGTATCTACTATGTAATAAAAAGTTGAGGACATCACTTATGTTAACAAAATTTGCTAAAGTTAATGGGGAAAAGTGACAATTTTTAGTATTTCAAATATTAAATGATTTTCATATAGAAGTTTTCAGTAGAGGTACCTTGGGAAAGCTGCTGCGTCAGAGAAACGGGAACACATGGGGGTATTCAGTGTGCAATGACATCAGTCATCTTAACATAAAATAACATGGAGAAACTATTTATTGAACACACGTAAATTGTTATGGCTCCTTCCATCCACCTTGGGAGGATATTGCCAAAACAGAGAGTCCTCCTATACATAAATAATAAGAGCATGAATCTTCCCTGTAGCAACATACGGACGTGAGTCTTGGACTATCTCCCAGTCCTAAAGAAAAAGAATAGAGGCTTTTGAGCTAAAATGCTATAGAAAGATTCTCAGAATATCTTGGACAAAGAAGAGGAGAAATACTGACATCTTGAAAGATCTCAACATCAAGGAAGATTGGCTAATAAACAGTATCCTGTCTCGGAAGTCCTGTCTCGGAAGCTGAAACATTTTGGTCATATCATGCGCCACGACAGATTGGACAAAATTATAGCAGAAGGCATCATACCAGGAAGGAGGGGAAGGGGCTGACTGACACAAAGATGGGCACAGGATATAAGTGACTCCTTGAGTATGAAAGTACTTAAGTTTCTTTCAGGCAGACCGTGATGAGAGCCACATTCTGCAAAGGACCTGCTACATGATGATGATGAAGGGAATACAGCGATCTTCGCATTTGATGTTTATGACAGGTCCCACACAAGGATGGTAACTTGTGCTGCTGCAATTGATCTTGACGATGCATACAACAAGATATCATAGGAATGTGTACAAGTGCCAGCCGAGTGGTGTATACCCTTTTCAGTCGGCATAAAACTGGACAGACTGCAAACAAAAAGGCCAGTTGGTGGTTAAGACAGAAGCTCAAGCGTTAATTCTTGAAAATTTTGCTGATGGAGAAACAGTTTATCTACACTGATGGATTCATCATAATACAATTACAAAGATCTGAAAACTAAAAGAATATAGTGGGGCTTTTGCTTGACTATAAGTAGTCAGACTATGGAGGTGATGTCGGTAACAAAAGCAATTGTGTGGCTAGAGACAATTAGTTTGCTTTGCGAGAGTAAGGAATGAACTGAGGACATAAGCTCTAATGAGGGATAAAAGGCAGCAGAAGAAGTCAGTAGAGGAGGATAAAAAAGATTTAAAACGTTTTCTGTAATGAATTTAAATAATGCGGATATAAACAGTACATTGCACAATTTATTGTCAGGCGTATATTTTTATATATTGGTTGAATTTATTAATTTTTGTGCTTCATTATTTTGATTTAACTGCATTAACACATTTGTATTGTGCAAGATATTGTTTATGTCTGCATTATTTAAAAAACCGTTTGTTTTCTTGTTTTTGAAGGTGCTGGGTCAGTCTGTTCAGTCTCACCAAGCAGAGTTTGAGGATCTTAGAACCATAGCACAGCAGATCAGCCAAGTCACTGGTGACAGTCAGACAATTTCACATGCTGGTCTTTTAGTTAACCGTTATCATGCTTTGACCTCTGCTGTGAAGGTTTGTTTACTGAGAGCTTATAGTAAAATACCTTATATTTGAATCAAAATTCCCTGTTCAAAATTATACAGTTTACTACTCAATTTATAAATGCTTTTTAAATATATTGTTTATGAAAGATCATTAAACTATTTCAGACCTAAGGGTGTGGTATCAAATTTCCTAGAGAAACAATTACCAAAATGAAAAATTACAACCGTATTACTTTCAAACAGATCAAATATACACACCTTGCATATAAACATTATTTAGTGATATGCTAAAACGAACATGACAGCCAAATTATTTTGTAATAATCATTTTCATGATGTAGCACTATCTTTGCACACTATTTCCTGATCATGATGTAGCACTATCTTTGCACACTATTTCCTGATCATGATGTAGCACTATCTTTGCACACTATTGCCCTCATCATGTTGTAGCACTATCTTTGCACACTTTTGCCCTCATTATGATGTAGCTCTATCTTTGCACACTGTTGCCTTCATCATGATGTAGCACTATCTTTGCACACTATTGCCCTGATCATGATGTAGCACTATCTTTGCACACTATTACCCTGATCATGTCCTACTAGAAAGCTCTTGGTTTCCTTGTCACTACCTCTGCATGAAAATAGTGTCATGCCAAAGCCATTGACTTTCATGTTGATCAACTCCTGTATCTTTGATATTACTGTACTGTCTAAACGGTTGTGGCATTAGTATAGTGGTAGTGTGTCAGTATCTTAGACCTGATGCTGTTTATGGGCTATTTATTTTTAGTGTTCAGATCCTGTAGAAGAATATTATTTTTCTTTTTGATTCATGGTATTCAAAATTATTTTCTTTATTATTCAGTCTCAAATGCACATTGTTTTTCTTTAATAGCTGTGAAATGGTCTAGACTCACGAGGGAAAATACATGTTCTCAGAATGTTTTACTGCAGTTTGTTTGCTGGTGCTGTGCTTGAAATGTTTAATGCTCTACGGCTAATATGATTTTTGGTGAACGGTCTCCATTGTTATTAAATATTGAGCCAGTGTGTTCAAAGTTTGTGACATTTTCAATGTCTTTATTGTTGACTGTAAATTTTTACTGATATCCAGTTTTGTCTGTTACACTATTTTTTAAATTGCAGGTTCAGCATTATATTTTCATCTTAATCGTATCTCTTATCAGACAGGATTAACTGTCCTAATCCTTTTTCATTGTTTGAGAGGGGTACAACATCATTTTTCCTTAAGTTCTGAAATAGTTTATTTCAATTGTTTTTGTAGGGGTCAAGACAGTTACAGGTCTCATAATCTTTTTATACTTTTCTCATGACACTGACTGCATTGATGTTGAATAGGCCATGAAGAAAGAATGCAAAACTGTCTTATTCTCTTTTCTATCTTAACTCTTTGAGTCCCAAAGGGTTTAGCATCAGAGGCCCAAGGAATGGTAATACAATTTTTCAATTTTACAAGTGTAACACATTAAAACATAATATACAAAGTCAGCTGCGGTGCAACATACACATATTAAAATCAATGTGACCAGGGATTGTTAGGGAGTAATAATAAAATACTGCGACAACAAATAATTGGGTTAGTAGTTTAATATTAGTTAATAAACAGACAGCATGTTTACAGAAACTAGTAAAATGAAATAATAATGTTTCCAGGTTGATTTTTAGTCCCAGCGCTGTGTTTCCTGGATTATAGTGTATTTCCCATTGTCTACTACAAGAGTTATGTGACTGGTTTGATGTCTCACAGTCTTTAGCGTTTTTTGCAGACCTTATAATATTTTCACAGTTTATGCGGTGAACTATTAAGTGTCCTATATAGAAAGACAAAATGCAACCTAAAGTTGTGTTTAGGACACTTACTTTGAAAGAAAATTATCAATTAGGAATATAAATATTAATCACTGTTGATATACATTGGCGTCTGTGGCTTAGGCATTGCAAAAGCACTTTGTGATGTCAGGGTACTGGGTTCGATCCCAGGTGCGTATCATTTGTTTTGCGTTGGTTTCAACAGTTGTACCGAGAACTGACCTTTTAGAAAGCAATGTCAAACTGCTGAACATAAAATGTGCCTAGAAAAATCACAACAGTCACAAAATGCTGGGGTGGGTTCTGCAAACGTCCTGTAAAGAAAATGCAACTTACAGTTTATAGACACATGCACATAATATAATCCAGGAAATAACTTTTGATTTATAGTAACATCATCAATTGAGTATAAACAACAAATGATATTATTAAAACAAAAACAAAAGAGCAAATATAAACTATTTTGTGTATTATTTTAATATAAAGATATTAATAAAGTTTGAATTAGGTAAGAAGTAAAAGATATAAATAACTGCAGACTTAGATTAAAATGTTATTAGCACCTAAAACAATATGAATTAACACTCTGGGGGACCCCCCCCCCCCCCCCAATTCCCTTTCCGCCAAAAAAAAAATTTAAAAAGTTAAATCTCTTACAAGCATAGTAAAGTTAAACATAGAGATAAAATCAAATGATTGATATGCCAATCATATGATATACTATAAACTCTTTGAGTCCCAAGAAACGTATGGTGTGCTAATTGGTTACTACCCATGCAGCCAATCAGTGTGTGATGCATTCAGATTTTTAATTTACAACTGGCCAGTATAATGGTGCAAACCGTCAGTTTTGAATGGTATTTTCTGTTCTTTGTGTTTGATGTAATGCATGTGGTAATTGGAAACAAAATTTTTTTTAAACTAATTTTTCCCCAAACATTCCTATGTTTATTCTACTAATAATTAACTAGTAACAATTTATTTTTATAGCAGTATTCTAATATTATTCCTCAACACTCCCTGGTCACTTTGATATATAATATTTGTATGTTGCACAGCAGTTGAATTCGTATGAGCTGGTTTAATGTGTAACACTTGTGAAATGTCAAAATTACATTACCATCCCTTGGGCCTCTGATGCTAAACCCCCTGGGACTGAAAGAGTTAAATAGTAAATAATATGCCTGAGTTTTATATAAATGCACCACTTACCTTCTTATACAATGAATCAGATTTTGTTTGCATCTGACCAGGAAATGATTGGGAAATGCAACCAGAACATTAAAGATCACAGTGAATATTTAGAGAAGCACAAGGCAGCTCTGGCATGGCTGGATAAAGTTCAGCACAGTCTGGAGGAGTGCTCTAGTCTGGTTGATGAGGAAAATTCTCTGAACAATAAGCTGGCTATTGTAAAAGTATGAAGTGTTTATGTGTTTCTAATCTTAAGTTTCGGTTTTATTTGAGTGATTCAAACAAACAAACAAAGAAAATTAGGTTATTTGTTTAAACACTTTCATTATTCTACAATGTCATCATCGTCATCATTATCATCATCTTCATCATCATCAGCATCATCAAGAGCCTTACCAACTGGCAGGGACAAACATATATCTTAACAACTACAGGTCTTTTACCTCTTTCAAAACATCTAGATTACTCACTTGGTTGTCCAAGAATTTTAAGCATTCTTCTGTAAAACCATTCTACCATATCATATTTTACAAAAAGATAGATGTACTTTAAATTTAGTTGCCACTGCCATCGTTAGGAACTTTATTGGCTACCAAAGAAGGGGTTGACCTTGTATGGAAATGTGCCAAATGTACTGATGTTAAACAGTCATAGCAGCAGAAAATAGAAAAATGCAACTGACTGAATATACAAACAAAATATGAGGAAGAGAATTTTTTATTAAAACCTAGTTGCCATTGCTATAAGTTGATCAGAGAGAGGGACAGTCAGGAAGAGAGAGTGGCAAATATGGACTTGCATGCAAGCGCACACACACACCTTCAGATGCACCCATGCGCACACACATGCAGGCATGCTTACAGAAAAAGTTAATTAAATAGCTACATTTCAAGAAAACTCACCTAATCTTATTAGTTCTTATTAGAATATCACATCTATATTCTAACTTAAAAGTTCTTCAGTATTTCCTGTTTATATTTCAGTTGAGATTTCATTCATTTTATGGTTGACAATTTTCAGTGATGTAAAATATTCTCATTGTTCTACTGTGTACAGAAGAGTCAAATTTACACTGTTGTCTTCTGTAAGAGCCAGTTACCTTAGAAATCAAATATGCACTTTCTTGTTCTTCTTCTCTTCCACCTTCTACCTCATTGAAGTGTTGGGGGATGCCTTTGTGAATGTATATAAGATTTGACTAAGCTGCTGTTATTAAGCTTCTAAATATTTTTAAAGTTGTGTGAAACAACAGACAAGCTGTAATTTAAAAAAAAAAAATGGGTTTATTTCCACTTATTGAAACATTTGTGCTAGCTTTATTATAAAAAAAACGAGTCTGCAATTTTTTTGGGGTATGGAAAAATTAACTCTGTCACTTTACTTTCCTTAATATTTCCTGGTACCTTTTTTTTAAATGCTGTTTTAAATTTCTGAATTAGATAATGATGAAGCTAACCTCAGAAGATGATTCCTGGCAACACCAGTTTGCTCATTTATTGCATTTAATTTCTGAGCACCTCCCACAAGGGTTCTAGTATAGCTTACTAGCATTGCTGCATTCAGTTTTTTGGTAGTTTTCAGTAAACCCCTGCAGTTATTAGGGAAGAAATGAATTCATTCTGAAGTGTAACAAATGTAGTTTCATTGACATTACTTCACCCACCACTATGAAAGTGTAATTATTAATTATGTGTTTGTCATATAGGTTGTGTAAAATTATGTATGTGTCCAATTTAACATAATTTTTTTTTAAATAGGATCTAGTGGTTCTCAGAGAAGAGGGAAGCCATTATGTTGATGCAGCTACTGAGGCTGGAGAAAGACTGTACTCGTCTACTTCAATTGAAGGCAAGGAAGGAATTCGCCACGAGCTGTGTGCACTGAGAGAGGGATGGAATAATTTTAGCAACAGCCTCAGTGACTGCCAGAGAGAGCTAGACGTCATCAAGCTGCAGTGGCTGTCATTTGATGAAAGCTTTGATCAGCTAAACAAATGGGTGGCAGACATGGAAGCACAGGCTGATGTAGAATCTGAACTCAAGGCAACATTACAGGAGAAGAAAATACTGTTGCAAAATTACAAGGTTTTTTAACTTTCTGTTTGTAAAGTGTTTCACTATATATTATTAGTTATAGTAAATCTACGCAAATCACAGCTTCTTGAAGTATTTATATTAGATAAACACATATTCAAAATTAAATGTTTGTTACACACTTAATGAATTATGACTTGCTGGCTCTTAGTTTTGTTATATATGGTTTATTTCACCAAATTTTCAGATTCATTTTTAAATATTTACAATAGATATGGTTTGTTTCCAAAATTTCCAGATTCATGTTTAAATATTTACAAAGTGACTCTTGCGGCCAGTGGATGTATTGCACGCTTGCCAAGTTTCTAGGGGTTTATTTGTTAAATGTCGGTCCTCAACACCTACACACTGGATTCCCTCTGTCCACTAATCATGTCGCCCACTTTCCTTAGCACAGCACATGCTGATTGTGATTAAAACTGGAACAAAGGAATCAGCAGTCTGTCCAGACGTGGACAGTACACCCCAGTGAACTATGTACCAGGTGCCTGCTATGGGTGACTCACACCCGATCGCACAGATACACCCATGTGGTGTGTAGTAGCAATCCTCTGATGGTTCTTCCTTTAAAACACCCCGGCCACCCAAAGATTCAAGGTAGAGGCACCACTTGGTGAAAGACTACAGACCTCCAGGCTGCTACCCCAGCCACTCATTGAAGTATCACTGACTAACATACTGTTGATCAGCCTCCGATACCTACCAATCACAACTCCATGCTGGTCAACACACACAAAGTACGCCAGCACCTTCTGTCCACTTAAGGTCACTGACACCCATCGTCACATAGCTGCAACCGTGTCAACCCCATAATCATGGCCAACACAAGTACATTCTAGAAAATCACACTGACAGAATTATGACCCATGACCTACCATTGTGATCCAAACAGTTTACACGAGTTCCACAGAATAAAACCACATTGGGAAGACTGTCACACAAGTCCATGCGTCCACTAGACTTGAACAATTTGCATACATACCCACACACATAGATGAACTGAAAGTGACTGATTCAAACTACCACAGGACTTTTCCCACCCATGGTCAGTTAAGCATGGATCTTGCTTTCTCGCCAACACCCGGGTTTCACAACCTGTTGACTGACCCACACGGATCCCACAATATTCATAAAGTTCCCAAGTCCATCATGACCTTCAGGTGACTTGTTTCCCCAGTGGCTTATGCTCCACTCTCTTCTAGTGGCCCCAGATGTCCACAATGCCAACCCGTGAAGAGAACACGAGTGCCTATGTGTACCTGTGATTCACACGTTAGTTAGTTAGTTAGTTAGTTGGGTTATCATCATTGCACTCCGGACATGTCCATAGGTGCTCAGATCCTCCCCTCAGTATGAACCCCAACGTTCGATGGCTAATAGTACCAGTTCTATGTTGATTAACAAGTCTTCTGACGTGTCTGGTGTGCGTCTCGTTTTTTGCTGTGCCGATCTTAATTTCCAAGTCTGCCATTCTGGCGAGTTGTGCTTCACACGTACATGGCCTCATCAACCTTTTATACCCCACAGTGATTTTTCACATAACACAACAGTTGATCCCAAAACTTAGCAGTGGGAAAGTTAAAAATAAGCAGATCTCCACATCTTCTATCTTGTCAGGTTTTTATTCCCGGGAGCGCCTCAGTTGTCGCCAACCCATCTGGGACTTTACACTTTTATAGAAGTGTGTGGGTTTGAATCCTCTCACTGCACACCCATGTGAGAAACTGGACTAATATCTGAGCTATGTTAATCATAGACACAGTCCTGGATAACCCAGAAAACAGCAAAAGTGGCTCGTACAATAAAATGAGAGTAGCTGTTTTTGTATCCACAGGAGTAGGAAAAGAGATAGATATCAAAATGAATTCAATGAGATAATATCCAGAAACATGGTTAACCCCTTCAACTTTCTCTTCTCCTGGTATTAATTTATAACAAAAGCCCCCATCAAGTGATTTATAAATGAGGTAAACTAGTCTGCACAAAGACACTTGAACCTAAATACACAATTTACTCAACTATTATTTTTGAACTTGACAAAAAGTTGAATATTCAATCCAAAGCAAAATAAAATGAATGGTACTGGTTTACGATGTTGCAATCAAGAATGGCATGCTTTGATGATAGTGCATCAGTCAGTGAATTCAATAGGAATATGAGAGTGATGGTGTTGTTTTTAACAAAAATAAAAGTTTGACATATCTTATGAAACAAAGAGGTTTCTGCCTGGACATTTCTCTGTTGGTCACCACTTGCTGCTTGTCTGATTTTGCTGTGCTGTCTGCTATCGGCTTATAGAAAGAGTGCTGTCTTGCCAACTTCTTTGAGCAGGCCATTTCTCTGGTTGTGTGATCTGATTTGCCCTGATAAGGACAGTGAGGTGACAATATAATGTTTGTTTGAAAGCCGACACAATAACCAGTCAAGACAGATTCAAGCTGTATATTCAAGCGAATCAAATGTCAAGATAAGGCTATTGACAATCAGGCAGTCAAATGGTGCATGTAGCGAGCGAGACAAGGAGTGCACCCTCCTTGGAGGAAAACCTCCAGACACTATGTCTGAGCTTTGCACTTCACTGGTGCCACTAAGTCTGTCTAGTCAATGTTATCAGAATTATCTGACATCTCAAACCTCGGCAAGGGTACTGATGTTTGACTTCAGCTGTAGTCCAGATAAATTAAATCCGGTTGACATAGATTTAGACTACAGGCCAGGAACAATGTTTTCCTCTATATCTTACAATACAAAGACACACAAAATTCAGTTGGGGGAAAACACATTCTGGAGTTACCAGGCATGCCGTCACAACATTCTGGAGTTACCAGGCATGTCGTCACAACATTCTGGAGTTACTATGCATGTCATCACATATCTTTATACATTAAGACAACTTGTTATGCACACAAACTACTGAAGTCCCCGCAAACTGTAGCCCACTAAAATCTGTACCAGAGCTATTCAATAATAAACAATTAACTAACATGAGATGCAATTTTCATATTGCCAATAAAGTGAGGAATTAATAACATTTATTTTACCAAAGATCTGGAGCTTATTTTTACTTGAACTAAAAAACTAAAATACTTATAAGCAAAAAGACTGTTTAAGAAATCTAAAAACTG